CGTTGCTGCGAGCTGGGAAAGATCGTTTGGTGTCCAGTGGAGTTTTCTGATTTCCCAGCCCAGACGGACTCCACACCCTCTGCTAGAGATGAAGGTGAGTCATCTTCCTCCCTAAAGCAGCTTTGCTTTGCTGCACCTACACCAGGGTGGGGGATCGCAGCATGGCTGTGAGCACCCTGGCTTTCCTGGTCGCATCAGGCACTTGGCACTCCTGGAGTCCAACAGCTTGGAGAAAGGGAGCTGGGTTCCCGTTGCTGGCTACACTCGAGTAACAGAGTTCATACTCTGGGAAACAGCAATTTCAGAAGCCGGCACTCCCTTCCGAGATGAGCCGATGAACGCCAGCCCAGCTATAATCACCGGTGCTGCCCCACCAAGATCCTGCCATCAGTGCTGATGGAGTCCCCAGAGCTTGGCTGGGCTTGGGCTGCTCAGCACCCGCCAGGGAGAAGCCTTGCTGCTGCCTCTGGGTGGGAAAGGCTAAGGTAATGCTCTTTGGAAGGGTCCCTCCCGGTGCTGCCTCAGGAGGTCCCTCAGATCAGACAGGGAGCTGCTTGCACCTCTACAGCTTCACCTCCTCCTTTGTGTTCTCTTATCCTGCTCTCCCTGGCAGGGGCTGTCCCTGCAGCTGTCCCTGCCAGCAAACAGTCGCCTGCCCGGTAATAAGCCGGCTGTGATCACAGCGCAGTCTCTGGGATGTTGCTTAGACTTTGGCCCTGCCACCGTCCTGGGCTCTCCTGCGCAGAGCGGGTGCTGCTGCAGCCCTGAACCCTCAGAACGGGGTGACATGGGTCATTACTGGTGTGGTGGGGAGGAAGCAGAAACCAGCTGGCGAAGTGACTTGCCCATGGTCATGTAGTGGGTCAGTGGCACAGACGGGAGCAGCTTCAGAGTAGAACTGTAGAGTTTTCATCTTCCTTCTGCCAGTGCAAGGCAGGTCAGGTCCATACACAAGTATCAGGACACCGGGGTCCCCTGCCCGGGCTCTGCAAACTGTCTGGTTTCTCCGTGCTTCCACTTGCCCGTGCTGCTGGTGGCCGCGGTGCGGCTCAGTGTGCCCGTGGCTCTGGGCTGGCTGGTGTTGCAGACGGGTTTGTGGGCAGTGGTGTCGTAAGTGATCATTCACAGAACGTGTCAGGAAAGCAAACATCCCTATCCTTGGGTTGCTACCGAGATTATATTCTTAATGTATTCTAGTGACATTATCAAATTCTAGTGGGTTACTTAACGGCCTTTCAGCTGCCAGTAAAAAAAATCCCATCTGTTGCTCAGCCCTTCAGAAGCATTTCCTTGTGCTCTGGCAGAACCCAGCAAACCCAGCGTTTCGGGGTGCTTAGCAGCTGATCCCCTGAGCAGGTGGAAGAGGAGGGGAAGCAGCAGCTCTGCAGAACCTGGACATGCTGAGATGAGCAGATCTCCTCACCCTTCTTCCAAACACTCATCTTCAGAGCTGGGGAAGAGCTGCCAAGTCTCCAAACCTCAGGACT